CCGCGACGAGGTCCCCACCGCCGCCCTGCCCTACGGGCGTTCTCTACCGCCGCGCTTCTCTGCAGGCGATCCCCACCGCCGCCATGCCTGCGAGGAGGCCCCCATCGACGCCCTGCCCTACGGGAGATCCCTACCGCCGCGCTCTTCTGCGGGCGAGCCCCACCACCGCCCTGCTCTCCCGGAGTTCCCCGCCGCCGCCCAGGGAGATCCCGGCGGCAGCCCTCCCCTCCGGCAAGACGCGGTTCTCGCCCGGTGAGTTCCATTTCCTCGTCCCTACCTTTCCCCTCGCAATCCGGTCGTCGATTTGGATGCGAGGTAGTCCGAGATCCGTTCCTCGATCCGTTCGCAGGCAGCGTGATATCCGTTCCGCTCGTGCGAGATACTCTAGTTATCCGTTCCTTAGTTCGATTCCCGGTTCGTGTTCCATTAGGGCTTAGCGATTGGATCTTGTGTTGTCGGTTCAGTCTTCTGTATTGGATCTCGGTTACTCATTCATCGGCAGTAGTTCATGAGTTTGAAGGATCTGTTATTATACTAGTTTTAATCATATTACTGATTGTGCTAGATATACAGTTTTACTAGAAATCAGCCGTCGGTTTGCCCTGTCTGGTCTTCGGGTTTTCACATGGGGGATGGATGAGGCCAGCGGGGCTCTCACATCGGGTGTGCCAATGAGCCAGTGGTGGTCCGCCGGAATATGATTCGCAAAGCCCAACAATGCCTGTTGACTGACATTTTACATTTAATCAGTTATTCAGTTTTCATGTTTTATTATTTTGTACTCAATCCTCAGTCTTGATAACCGCTTGTTTTATAGTATCGTATTTTGTCCTCAATCCTCAATCTTCATTATTATGCTCTGTTCCTTTAGTCTTTGGTTTCTCTTTGTTCAGTCTCCACCCTCTTTGTTTAGTCCCAATCCTCAGTACCTCTTTCTGCATTTGTCGGTTTAAATTAAGAATAGGAAGCTTGGTAAACAAGCAGGAAGATGCTCATTTTGCTCACCTTTTCACTTATGCCTATGTCTTTTAATTATGTATTTTCCTCAAGTCATATAGATTAACCCAGAAGGCTAACTTGATGATTGTACCATGTTAATTTCTCAATGTGCTTACACTACATATAGCTAAGGGTGTGCTTCACCATCTAAATCCAACATCATGTTACTTAACTCCTATTTTCCTCATCCCATCCCTTCTGCATTTTTGCCCCTCATTGCTATGCACCATAGCTGCCCTACAATTGTTGGCTTTAGTTCTAGACTCTTGAACTCACTCTTTGTTTTTTCGTATAATTTCATCATGTGCAGAGAAGTGGGAGGGCTACTACTTCCTTGAAGATGCCGAAGGCTATCTGTTCCAGGAGGCCGATGGTGGGTTCTACTTTTTGGAGTGCTTTGAAGGGGAGGGCTACTATTACCAAAGCGAAGAAAGTGACTACTTTCACACCGGACAAAGTCTATATGACAAGGATTACGGCCTGCAGACCCTTGATTCTGAGCTACAGGCACTCTCCCTCCACAGCGACCTCGGCAAGCGGGGCCAGCTCCTGGAGGAGCGCTGCAAGGGGAGCAAGGCGCGGGACGATGACTGCCGCGACGGTGGCTCTCCTTGCCTGAAAGTTCTTGAGGCTTCAGGAGTCTCCGGGCATCGTCATATTGCCAGGCGTGAGCCAAAGAAAGGTGTCTAGTTCCTGCTGGCAGAAGTGGATAATCTTCTTGTTGGCGAAACCCATGTTCTGATCACTCAGTAGCGCTCTAGTTTGGATTTTCTAGCCGTGTCCACTTTCACTTCCTATGAAGTGATATCCTCAACTGCGTCTTGTAATCAGCCTCAAAAGATCTACACAGACAGTAGATCTTCAGATGAAGTCTTCAGAAATTTGCAATCTTGGTACGTTGAAGAAATTTGCAATGAAGTCTTCAGAAAGCCAAGAGATTCGTGCTATTTTTCAGGGCATGAAAAGCATCGTATGCTTTTAACCTTAGAAAGGTTTTTTTTTCTGAGACAGTTTAACCTCATAAAGGTGCCACATGGCACAAACGATTGGGGGCCCAACATAATAACTTCATACTCCCGTGTACATCTAGATTTTGTCCCAAACTTATAGAAAAAAGTAGTAGCATTTATGACACTGAATTGGTATCGGTACATCCGTCTAATACGTAGTTGGTAAAAATTTCTAATCTTTGACTTGGGGCAAAATGTAGATGTTTATTCATGGACGGAGGGAGGAATTCAATCCAAGTAAAACATGACAGGAAAGGTGGTTATGGAACAAACTGCCTATACAAATCACTTAGGACCGGAAGTGAATCACAGCACGCGAAGCCAAACCCAACCCCTCAGTTATCTGCTTCATCTCCTCGGCTGTCTGTGGATATCTTGATGGACAAACCTTTACCTTGATCTCGGGATCCAAGTCACCACAGCTCCCGCACACTTTCCTGTCGTACAGAGATATCTCTGTTATATTAACCGCATGTTCCACAACACATCTGATGTATCGCTTAAAATTGTCGTTGGGTTGGAAGCCATAGATGGTGAGCTTAGCCAGATTCTTGTGCTTGAAATCAGGTGCATATGGCTTCCAATTCACGTCTGCCTTTTCGCAGTAACCATTTTTCTTCCGAGCTTCTTCGTCTGTCAGCATTATGCACCAATGATCCCTTACCGCGACACACAGCTCTTCTAGGGTGGGTGCAGCTTCAAGAATAAACATCGTCCAAGCTAAATCACATCCTTCAGGAAGATTGTCTAGATTCACATGCTGTAGTTTGCCGAGCACAGGCGTGAGCAGTTTCGGGCATTCTGGTAGAACCCAGATCTGTAATAGAAATAAACAATTTAAATTTTTACTATTGTCACATATAACCATCATATAGGAATGGACAGATATGATTCATATGACTAATGAGTGTACCTTTTCACTTTCAAAATCAAGATGCAGATTGCTTATGTTCGGAACATTAGCAAGGAGCTGACTTAACTCCAGAGTCTTCTCCCAACGGACACCAGTTTTAGTGAGGCTCAGCTTTGAAAGCTGTGGTACAAAACCAAAATACAGGGGATCTTCATAAGAGTACCAATTATTATACCTCACTCGTTGGAGTTTTGGTAGACATGTCAGCTCAACTCTTGAAAATTCCCCGTAGTCTACCTCAAGCTCAACAAGCTGAGCATGTTCTACTTGCAGCACAGAATCGATCCCTGAGTCGCACTCGGTTAAACGCAAAGATGCCAAGAGTTTGCAAGTGCTGAGAATGTTGGTGATGTCCAGTTCACCAAACCTCATATTGCGCAGCCACAGGCGCCTGAGTCCAGCAAATGCATCTGGGAAAGCACCAACAAAATTATTTAACTGATTCGCAAATTGGAGAAGATCGGCAGGAGAGCAGTCCGTATAAGCCTTCTCCGTTATGATCTCAAACTCAGCTGCGCCAACCTTCTGGGTTGCCATGGCACGGGCAACAGATCTTCCAATGGTGAGAGAGACATGTGGCATCAAGACGAATCTGATTTTAAGTTTAGTAATGGCGATCTTCGGATTCCTTGTGCACAAGATGCTATCCGTTACACGAGCCACAGCATTGTTGGTTCGGAGAACTTCACCGCGGCTGAAAACACAAGCTTTATCATGGTGACCTGGAACGGAACCAGCACTTAAGAAGAACTGCGAGAGCATGGTGGGGAGATTCAGCATTTGCTTGGAGAGGATGCAGGTCCTTATAGCATCAAGTGTGTCCACCCTCTCCAGAATGTTGAGCAGGAGGTCATTGGGCAGATTGCTAAGCCTGTCGCCATTGTCAGCAGCGGCTCCATTGCGAGCTGATTTCTGCATTGCATTTAGCAGTAAGAACAAATAATAAACCTTCTGAGGATGAACCTTGCACAACAGACAAACACCAGGCACACTTACATTCCGCCTGCGACGACCATTCTTGTTGCCAGCAGCGGCTTCATTGCGAGCTGATTTCTGCATTGCATTTAACAGTTAAAAACAACAACAAATCAGCGTCCTAGCCATGAGGATGAATCGAAGGGAAGGACAAACATCAGGCACAAAAGAAGCAGCACTTACATTGCGTCTGTGACCACCACTTTTGTTCTTCATGGCTGATCGGATCAACAAATGGCCTTAAGATTTCTACCTTATTGGATCTGCGACAACAAAATTAATCCTCACTCCTACTCCTCTGTTTACTTGGACCGCCGCAACAAAGCAGACTAATCGCCGGTGAAAAACAAATCGGGGACGCCAATTTATTAGATCGATATAGGCGGCCCCTCCTCCTCCGACTCGGCCGGCTCTCCTCCAAGAGGGAGGAGATTATTCAGAGGAGAGGGAGGAGGATCCGGATTACAACTTCTCACCAGACAGACTCCGAATAAAAATCAATCCTTTTGGGCTGCCCTCGCCGCGCAATCCGAAATCGACCTCCTCTCTTCCCCGATTGCACAAGGAAATCAAATCTTCTCCCGCTTCCGTCTCCCGGGAGATTAGTTCCCCCGGAACGCAGCCAGGCATAATTACCCAGGCTGCAGAGGCGGTGGCCGGCGGCGGACGGCAGGGCCGGGGGTCGGGGTTGTCACAGGGGATGGCAGCGGAGGAGAGTGGTGGGTGGCCGGCGGAAGACGGCAGGTTGGGTAGGGAGGCTGTCGCAGGGGATGGCACGGGGTAGAATGGTGGTGGGCGGCGGGGGAGCGGGGAGGGGGTTGCCGCAGGGGACGGCGGCGCCTGCGGCCGAGGGGATGGATCCGCAAGATCGGCTATGGTTTCCTCTTATGCTACCATTTTGTTTTTTGAGAGGAAGTTCCTCTGATTTTTTCCCCAAGCGTTTGGGCCACTTGACTGAACATCCTAATCGGTAGGGCCATTGTTCTTCGGCCCACCGACAGAAAAAATAACATCTGAAAAAAATAGCTCCAATAATTTTATTATCTTCAAAAATAGCTCGAATGATTTTATAGGAGGGGGGCTTTTGGTCTATGGGTGTATATACACCCTGTACGAAAATAAATTAGTAACAAATCAATCTGTGATTGGATAGTTAGGTGAATAATGGTATCTTGCATTTTCCCGCGTTCAATGAAAAAAGACGTTCTCACCGACTACGAGGCACCTAAGATGACTTGTGAAAAAAATCACAAAAAGAAAAATCCCCTTTGACTTCTTTTCATAAAAAATAATTTTATGGCAAAAATAGTATGAATAGTGCCTTATAATAACAAATGAATTTGTTACTTTTGCCCTGAAGTCAACGCTCATTTTTAGTCGTGAAAAATTATATACTGGTGCAAAACAAAGTCAAGTTTATTTTTGAAAAACTTCTGGACTATTTTGATTTTTGTAATTATTAAAAGAATCCCAAATACGATGCAGATACAACAAGAAACCAAAGTTTATTTCCCTAATTTTATACTCCTACTAGTACAATTCTAGCATGAATAATAAACATTTATCATGATATAAGGAAATAAATAATAACTTTATTATTGCCTCTAGGGCATATTTCCTTCAGTCTCCTACTTGCACTAGAGTCAATATAATCTAGATTACACAGTAATGATTCTAACACCCATGGAGCCTTGGTGCTGATTATGTTTTGCTCGTGGAAGAGGCTTAGTCAACGGGTCTGCAATATTCAGATCCGTATGTATCTTGTAAATTTCTATGTCTCCCACCTGGACTAGATCCCGGATGGAATTGAAGCGTCTCTTGATGTGGTCGGTTCTCTTGTGAAAGCTGGATTCCTTTGCCAAGGCAATTGCACCAGTATTGTCACAAAAGATTTTCATTAGACCCGATGCACTAGGTATGACACCTAGATTGGATATGAACTCCCTCATCCAGACTCCTTCATTTGCTGCTTCCGAAGCAGCTATGTACTCCGCTTCACACGTAGATCCCGCCACGACGCTTTGTTTAGAACTGCACCAACTGACAGCTCCACCGTTCAATCTAAACACGTATCCGGTTTGCGATTTAGAATCTTCCGGATCAGTGTCAAAGCTTGCATCGACGTAACCATTTACGACTAGCTCTTTGTCACCTCCATAAACGAGAAACATATCCTTAGTCCTTTTCAGGTATTTCAGGATGTTCTTGACCGATGTCCAATGATCCACTCCTGGATTACTTTGGTACCTCACTGCTAAATTTATAGCAAGGCACACATCAGGTCTGGTACATAACATTTCATACATGATAGAGCCTATGGTTGAAGCATAGGGACATCTTTCATCTTCTCTCTATCTTCTGCAGTGGTCGGGCATGGAGTCTTACTCAACTTTACACCTTGTAACACAGGCAAGAACCCTTTCTTTGCTTGATCCATTTTGAACTTCTTCAAAACTTTGTCAAGGTATGTGGTTTGTGAAAGTCCAATTAAGGGTCTTGATCTATCTCTATAGATCTTGATGCCCAATATATAAGCAGCTTCACCGAGGTCTTTCATTGAAAAACTCTTATTCAAGTATCCCTTTATGCTATCCAGAAATTCTATATCATTTCCAATCAATAATATGTCATCCACATATAATATCCGAAATGCTACAGAGCTCCCACTCACTTTCTTGTAAATACATGCTTCTCCAAAAGTCTGTATAAAACCAAATGCTTTGATCACACTATCAAAGCGTTTATTCCAACTTCGAGAGGCTTGCACCAGTCCATAAACGGATCGCTGGAGCTTGCACACTTTGTTAGCTCCCTTTGGATCGACAAAACCTTCTGGTTGCATCATATACAACTCTTCTTCCATAAATCCATTCAGGAATGCAGTTTTTACATCCATTTGCCAAATTTCATAATCATAAAATGCGGCAATTGCTAACATGATTCGGACAGACTTAAGCATCGCTACGGGTGAGAAGGTCTCATCGTAGTCAATCCCTTGAACTTGTCGAAAACCTTTCGCAACAAGTCGAGCTTTATAGACAGTAACATTACCGTCAGTGTCAGTCTTCTTCTTGAAGATCCATTTATTCTCAATGGCTTGCCGATCATCGGGCAAGTCAACCAAAGTCCACACTTTGTTCTCATACATGGATCCCATCTTAGATTTCATGGCTTCAAGCCATTTTGCGGAATCTGGGCTCACCATCGCTTCTTCATAGTTCGTATGTTCATCATGGTCTAGTAACATGACTTCCAGAACAGGATTACCGTACCATTCTGGCGCGGATCTTACTCTGGTTGATCTACGAGGTTCAGTAATAACTTGATCAGAAGTTTCATGATCATCATCATTAACTTCCTCACTAATTGGTGTAGGCGTCACAGGAACCGGTTTCTGTGATGAACTACTTTCCAATAAGGGAGCAGGTACAGTTACCTCATCAAGTTCTACTTTCCTCCCACTCACTTCTTTCGAGAGAAACTCCTTCTCTAGAAAGGATCCATTCTTAGCAACGAATGTCTTGCCTTCGGATCTGTGATAGAAGGTGTACCCAACAGTCTCCTTTGGGTATCCTATGAAGACACATTTCTCCGATTTGGGTTCGAGCTTATCAGGTTGAAGTTTTTTCACATAAGCATCACAGCCCCAAACTTTAAGAAACGACAACTTTGGTTTCTTGCCAAACCACAGTTCATAAGGCGTCGTCTCAACGGATTTCGATGGTGCCCTATTTAACATGAATGCAGCCGTCTCTAAAGCATAACCCCAAAACGATAGCGGTAAATTAGTAAGAGACATCATAGATCGCACCATATCTAGTAAAGTACGATTACGACGTTCGGACACACCATTACGTTGTGGTGTTCCGGGTGGCGTGAGTTGCGAAACTATTCCGCATTGTTTCAAATGTAGACCAAACTCGTAACTCAAATATTCTCCTCCACGATCAGATCGTAGATACTTTATTTTCTTGTTACGATGATTTTCAACCTCACTCTGAAATTCTTTGAACTTTTCAAATGTTTCAGACTTATGCTTCATTAAGTAGATATACACATATCTGCTTAAATCATCTGTGAAGGTGAGAAAATAACAATACCCGTCACGAGCCTCAACATTCATTGGACCACATACATCAGTATGTATGATCTCCAACAAATCAGTTGCTCGCTCCATAGTTCCGAAGAACGGCGTTTTAGTCATCTTGCCCATGAGGCATGGTTCGCAAGTACCAAGTCATTCATAATCAAGTGATTTCAAAAGTCCATCAGTATGGAGTTTCTTCATGCGCTTTACACCAATATGACCCAAACGACAGTGCCACAAATAAGTTGCACTATCATTATCAACTCTGTATCTTTTGGCTTCAACCTTATGAATATGTGTATTACTACTATCGAGATTCATCAAAAATAGACCACTCTTCAAGGGTGCATGACCATAAAAGATATTACTCATATAAATAGAACAACCATTATTCCCTGATTTAAATGAATAACCGTCTGCATCAAACAAGATCCAGATATAATGTTCATGCTCAACGCTGGCACCAAATAACAATTATTTAGGTCTAATACTAATCCCGAAGGTAGATGTAGAGGCAGCATGCCGACAACGATGACATCAACTTTGGAACCATTTCCCACGCGCATCGTCACCTCGTCCTTAGCCAGTGTCCGCTTAATCTGTAGTCCCTGTTTCGAGTTGCAAATATTAGCAACAGAACCAGTATCAAATACCCAGGTGCTAACGCGAGCTCTGGTAAGGTACACATCAATAACATGTATATCACATATACCTTTGTTCACCTTGCCATCCTTCTTATCCGCCAAATACTTGGGGCAGTTCCACTTCCAGTGACCAGTCTGCTTGTAGTAGAAGCACTCAGTCTCAAGCTTAGGTCCAGACTTGGGTTTCTTCTCTTGAGCAGAAACTTGCTTGCTGTTCTTCTTGAAGTTCCCCTTCTTCTTCCCTTTGCCCTTTTTCTTGAAACTGGTGGTCTTATTGACCATCAACACTTGATGCTCCTTCTTGATTTCTACCTCCGCAGCCTTTAGCATTGCGAAGAGCTCGGAAATCGTCTTATCCATCCCTTGCATGTTATAGTTCATCACGAAGCTCTTGTAGCTTGGTGGCAGTGATTGAAGAATTCTACCAATGACGCTATCATCCGGAAGATTAACTCCCAGTTGAATTAAGTGATTGCAGTACC